CCAACCATACATACACACTGGTCATGGCGACTTAACCCAATACTCCTCCACGATCAACTGATCAGAGACAAAATAACTATCGCAATCAAAGATTATTTTGATTTAAACTCACCCACAACGACCTCACCTATGACCCTCTGGACAGCACATAAAGCAGTCATCAGAGGCACACTCATCAGCCTAGCCACCCATAAAAAAAGACAAACACAATGACAAATACTAGAAACGATGACAGACCTCCGCCGACTAGAAACGGAACACAAAAAGAACCCTAACCCGACCACCCTGTCCAAACTCACGGCGACCAGAAACCTCCTTAACACCCTTACACAAGCAGACACAGCCAAAGCTCTGATGTGGCTCAAACAAAAATATTATGAAAAGGGTAACAAGGCGGACACCATGCTTGCCCGCAGACTTAAAAAGCGAACTGAAGCTAAACGCATCACAAAGATACGCACGAACGATGGTACCCTCACAGACTGCCCAACTAGTATAGGAAAAGTCTTCCAGGACTATTACACGGACCTCTACAACCATGACCACCGACCCCATGAAACCAGCCCATCGCTGTCCACACGCATAGACACATTCTTACAAAGCACGACGTTACCCACCCTAACGCAAGAGGCCCAAGCAACCCTGAGCCAAGACGTCACAACAGAAGAAATGGCCATAGCAGTGGGATCCCTCAAACCAAATAAAAGCCCAGGGCCGGACGGCTACACAGCCCTATATTACAAAGAATTCGTCCCACTACTCTTTACACATCTATGCGCGGTCTTTAACGCAGCACTCAAGGGAGAGAACCTCCCATCGGAAATGACAGGGGCAAACATCTGCCTCCTCCCGAAACCCGGCAAGGACCACTCTGAACCCGCACACTACAGACCAATTTCCTTACTCAACGTAGACCTCAAAATCATGACCAAAATTATGGCCAACCGCTTAAACCCATACCTAGGATCCCTCATACACCCAGATCAAGTGGGATTCATCCCGCATAGACACGCCGCGGACAACACCCGGAGAGCCATTGACCTCATATGGCTGGCTAACCACAGACGAATCCCTACAGCGATCATCTCACTGGACGCGGAAAAAACGTTTGATCGCTTGCTCTGGCCGTTCCTCTACCATACGCTAACATACATAGGGATACCACCCGAGTTTACTTCTTTTGTGCATGCCATCTACCACTCTCCCCAAGGGGCACTTCTACTACCTAACATCCCCCCACCACAATTCCCCATTTCAAATGGCACGAGACAGGGGTGCCCTTTGTCCCCCCTATTATTCGCCATATCACTAGAACCTCTACTGCAAGCGGTGCGTGCCAGCCATGACATAGAGGGGCTAACGATCAGGGGAGAAACCTTTAAAATCTCAGCCTACGCAGATGACATCCTGCTAACACTGACAAATCCGGAAAAATCAATACACTCGCTCCTAACTCTCATCCAAGAATACTCAGACCTGTCGGGGTACAAGATCAACCTGAACAAATCAGAGCTCCTCCCAATACAAATAGACGCTCCAAACATAGCTACACTCAAACAAATATGCCCGATGAGGATCTGCCACACAACGATGACGTACCTAGGGATTCAACTCCCAACAGACATCACCACTCTTTATAAAACAAATTACACCCCCTTATTACAAAAAGCTCACTCTGACCTCACTAAATGGAAATCACTAGGGGTCTCATGGCTGGGGCGCATCGCCACCATAAAAATGAATCTCCTACCCAGATTCTTATATCTATACCAAACCCTCCCCATACCGATCCAAAAACAAGACTTTAAGGCACTACAAACAGCCATTGACACATTCATCTGGAATGGACACAAACCCAGAGTACGCCGAAACACACTATATGTACCCAAGAAACACGGGGGACTAGGACTACCACACTTCACACATTACCACACCGCAGCACACCTAACGCAGATACAACACTGGCACGTCCCACCAGGGGAGAAAAGATGGGTGGACTTGGAACACATCATTTTCGGTAGGGACCATCCGTCCCTGTACATGTGGGTACCCAAACCACATAGACCCCTACCCCCTCCCACTGCTCCCTCAATCACCCATGCGCTTGACACATGGGACAAAATGAGGGACAAATTTGAACTGTCATCGTTCCTATCTCCTATGACCCCCATATGGAGGAACAGGCTATTCCCACCGGGACTTACCCCCAAGCACTTCGCTCATTTTGAACACAGGGACATCTCCCGTCTAGGGCATTTGTACCAAGACAACGACATTATAAAATTTTCAGATATCAAAGACTCATCCTCACTCACTTCATTTGATCACTTTAGATTCATACAATTGCGCAGCTTTGCAGAGACTCCAATCATAAAACAAGCCGGCACAGCTCAACTCAATCGATTTGAAAGAGACTGCATTGCGCACCCCAACAGACAAGGACAAATTTCCGACATATATGCAACCTTAGCGACCCACCACACACAACTGTCTCTCCCATACATAGCGGCGTGGGAGGCAGACCTCGGGCCCCCAGATGAAACAACAGATTGGTCAGACATCTGGGAGGCAACGGCCTCCATCTCCATATGTGTCACACACACGGAACAAGCCTACAAAATGCTATTCCGTTGGTACCTCACCCCCCAACGCCTGGCCATCATGCACCAAATACCAACCAACACTTGCTGGAAACAATGTGGAGAGACGGGAACGTTCCTCCACTGTTGGTGGACGTGCCCGAAACTCCAACCACTTTGGCAAGACACCACACGCCTAATCTCCAAACTAATAGACAAACCTTGCCCCGTAGACCCTTGGATGCTCCTACTCTCCAAGCCAATAGACCAATACACTAGAGCTGAAAATAAGCTATCCGCCCGCATAGCCCTAGCAACACGTAGAGCCATAGCAGAAGTCTGGTCAACAAACCGCATACCGACACAAGAAACAATAACCAAGAAGATAATAGATAGCATGCAAATGGATAGGCTCACAGCACAAATTCATGACTCGCCCAAAAAATTCCACAAAATATGGGACCCATGGCTGGAGGGAGACACGACCATCCCGTGGTAACACGGCGGGATATTAACTGCCCCCCCCTAACATAGGGATCCCCCAATAGAGGATATCACTTACCTCCCAAACAGAACAACCCTCACCTAACCACATAGCCCCAAACACTAACCCGGGACCCCCGAGAGGGACCCGCACGCTGGGTGGCCCGCGGACCGCGAATCCTCCCCCCCATGCCCACACCGTCCTATTCCACAACCCTTACCCTAAACCACTCCTCGACTCGGACAAGATTGCACCTATACATAACGAGACAAGACTCACAAAGAGTCGACAAGAGACAAAACCTGTCCCTTAAGAACGCAGAAACGACAGGGAACTTAACTTAGCGTTCAAGGAAGACACAATGCTAATACCATGTTGATACGTATGTAAGCAATTTCCAATATGCAACAGTACCCTGCGTTGGCACGGACATTAAACTTGAAAGTACTATTAAGTCTTGAACAACCCCCACCCACCCCCCCTTTTTATTTTCTGTACCCCTCTCCCCTCCCTCCTAATTTCAAGGAGAAAACCCTACAAATAAAGAATTTAAAAAAAAAAAAAAGCTGTGTCACAAGAAGTCCCACTAACAGAATGGTCCACAGCGGGGGATCACCCACATATCCCATTATCAGGATTACTGTATGATCCAGCACGTAGAACTGTATAGCCTGGATGACAAATAAGTAACGTATTACCGGTCCTTAGATTGGTCGGATTTAACGTACATGGAATAGTCAAAATTCTAGCCGAGGTCAGGGAACACAGAAAGGGACGCAACGATGAGGAAAGCCAGGAGTCAGGATACCAGAATACAGAGAAGTCAATAAGCAAAGCCAAAGTCAAAAACCAGTAGAAAACTATAAACAGGAACGCGCTCTCGGACAACCACATGGGAAACCACGACAGGGCACTGAGTGGAGGTCAGACTAGGTTTTTATATCCATCCTCCCTTTCCCATTGGTCAGCCCGATATTTTGGCTCCAAAATGTGCGTGTGCAGTGCGCGTGTGCAGTGCGCGTGCGCACCCGCGGTCACGTGAGCGCACTCGCGGGGTTATTTCTGCCCGTGGATGTGCAACGGCCGGTGCCAGACTGTATGCTGAGACAGTCAGGACTGCAAGCTTCAGGCTGCTGAGCACCAGGTGAGGAAAAAGTGTCAGATGGATATGTGACATAACCCCACCTGAAGACCACCCACCGGGGGGCAGGACCGGGCTTGAGAGGAAACTTGGCATGAAAAGCGCGGATCTTATGGCCCGCATGCAGGTCAGGAGCCAAAACCCAAGAACGATCAGCAGGACCGTAACCTTTCCAATCCACCAAGTACTGTAAAGTGCCCCGAGAAAACCTAGAATCCACAAAAGAAGATACCTCATACTCTTCCTGACCACCCAACACCACCAGAGGGGGAGGAACACAAGGAACAGTATATTTATTGCAGACAAGAGGTTTGAGTAAGGATACATGAAAAGTGCTGGGAACCCCTAACGATGCAGGAAGATCCAGAGAGCAAGACACTGGATTGATCCTACGAAGCACTGATGTCTGCTCTCTGCTCCCTCTCGCCACGTGCTGATGCCGGGAGCCGGAATATGACGTCATATTCCTGCTCCCAGCTACAGCAGACAGCTTGCCGCGGCTCAGCTGGACCCCAGGGAAAAGTCCACGCCAGCACTCCAGGTAGGAGGCTGCGTGGACATTTTTTTAAATTAAAATGTAATAATTTGTTCGTGTGTGTGTGTCTGTGTGTGTGTGTGTCTGTATGAGTGTGTCTGTGTGTGTGTGTGTCTGTATGAGTGTGTCTGTGTGTGAATGTGTGTCTGTGTGTGTCTGTGTATGTGTGTCTGTGAGTGTATGTGTGTGTCTGTGTGAGTGTGTGTCTGTGAGTGTATGTGTGTGTATATATGTGTGTGTATATATGTGTGTCTGTCTGAATGGTCTGTGAGTGTGTGTGTGTACGTGTATATATATATATATATATATATATATACACACACACACACACACACACACACACACACACACACACACACACACAGAGCCGGCGCTATCTGAGTGCCGGCTTTGCTCTAAGCCTCCATGGGCCGGCGGGGAGACCAAAGATCTACCTCACCGGCCCACAGCAGCATGGAGGGAGGCAGGAGAGGACTCAGGGAGCTCTAGACAGAAGCTCCGCCAGGTTCCTCTCGCGATATCTGAGTGTTGCTGCTGCAACGCTCAGATCTCGTGAGAGTTAACTCTAGCCCCGCAGGCTAGAGTTCACTCTCCACTGGACCACCAGGGATGGCACATGGCAGCAAGGATTTACTAATCTGCCAAATCCCTCCAAACATACAGCACACACACATACAGCTCACACACAGTACATTAACCGCACCCTCACAAACACACACAGCACCTTTAAAAAAAACACAACACCCTCACTGTGGTGAAACCGGCCTCGCCACTTGTCCTTGGAGAGGGCTGCTTGCCCGCCTCTTGCCTTTGGACTATGGACCAGACTTTATGTGAATGTGTTAACCCAGATAGCTATGCCATGGAGCCCATTCGTGTAGTTAAAGACTTCGGCACCATGGCAATTGAACTGTGTGAATAGGATCTGAGCGCTATTCGGTAGTTTTGTGCGCTCAGATCCCAGCTATCTGGGGATATGTGAAATGTCTGTGTCTTATGTGTAAAAGGTGACTTTATGTATTTTAAAGTGTTTTATGTCTTTTTGCAACCATGTGCTTAATGGAGTCTTGTGTCTGTCCTGGGAGATAATTGAATTACTCTCAATTATCTCCAGGATAGAAGACTCTGAAACTGGTTTGGGCCGGAAAGCCATGCTTCATTTAGTCACAAAAGACTTTCCCTTAACTTTTGAACCCCTGGTCTGATTCAAGCCATTTTTTAATATGTTGTTCCCCTGAATGGATTGATAATGAAAATGTATGTTTTATGTTTGTGACATGTATATTTTAGAAGTTATAAATATTGTGTAAAAACTGCATTCCTCTGCCGGTGATAATGAGATTACCCACTGTGTTCAATAATCATATCACAGACAGAGGGGAGGATTTTGTGTGGGAGTGTCTGGGTGTATTGTACGGATTGATTGGTTGTTTTGTAACGCCCTGTGGGCTGTACTATGTTTGTGGATTGGGAATAAAAGAGACTGTATGTGACAGTACAGGGAGTTCCTGCTTAACCCTCAAAGTGAAGTGTGGTCTCATTATTGGGGGAGGATTTATTGTATGCTGTTCCAGCTTGACTGCTAGGAGTGTAAACCTATTCACATGGTTTTTCCTATTCGGCTGTATACAACATTCATATGCTTGGGAGAATTTTTTTTTTTTTCAGGTTCGGTGATTGTGGTGTCTGCCAGAGTGCTTGGAGTCCTCAGGAAGCGCTAGGAGCATCCTTCAACTGAGGTACCCAGTCGGGGTGCCAGGCGATCCGTTACACTCACACACAGCACACTAACAGCACCCTCACAAACACACACACACACACACACAAACAGCACCCTCACAAATACATGACACTCACACAAACAGCACCCTCACAGGACAAACATACACACACAAACAGCACAGTCACAAACACACACACACACAAACACCCTCACATCACACTAACAGCACCCTCACACACACATCACACTAACAGCACACACAGCAGTGTATGTGTGTGTATGTATCTATATGTATTGTCCGAATATCGGACAATACTACAAAGCAACAGCGCTAGCAACAGGGGTCCTCCTCCATGCCCAACCTAACCTTATACAGTGGACAGATATGGAAAAGACACAATGCCCAGACCACTCACTTATAAACTATATGTGGACACCACGACGGTTTACCTTATAGATACATACACACACACGCGGCGTGTGTTTGTGCTTTAGGGTGCACACCCTAATGCAATAGGCTGCGCACGCCTATGGTGGGAAGGTCAATAGTACCCAATCTCTTTATTACTGCTTTTATACATCTCCCCATATACTTCTTACTCCATTACAATATTTCCCCATTAGCCCAGTCAATATAGGGATTGTGCTTACTCAACCACGAAAACCCTAATATGATAGGACATGATGGAGAAGTAATAATCTGAAACGTCATCTCCTCCCTATGGGAGGCCCAAATAGAAACCGTAATAGGGACAGTTTCGTGGGTTATAAGCGGTTGTGTGAGTGGTCTACCATCAATAGCCTCTACAGCTAGTGGCGTAGGTCTCTCCCTGACTGGTATCTCATTACCCCTAATAAACTGGACGGTCACATGCGCGCAGTGTTATTTCTTCCCGTGGATGTGCAACTGCCGGTGCCAGACTGTATGCTGAGACAGTTAGGACTGCAAGCTTTCCGGCCGCTGAGCACCAGGGAAAAGTGTCAGATGGATATGTGACACCCATCTGATGAGGAACCATGAAGTAATCCCCTTCCCTGAGCTACAAGCCCATTGGCACATATCAAACCGAGCCATTTTTTCCTACCTACAACTTAGGAGCATCCTCACGTCACACATACTACACAGCTCTACCACACAAGACCCTAAATAGGCTGCCCCTAAACTACTTCTAGACAGATGCTGGACCGCAACGACTAAACTGAAAATGTTAGCACTGCATGGCAAGAGATTACCCCAACCAAACCCCAACCATACAGGGCCCAATGGGAAGCAGACTGTGACAAAACACTAATTGACGACGATTGGCTACACTCTCTGAAAGGGCTCTCTAAATGGACCCGTTGCTTCTCACACATTGAAGCGCACAGAAAGCTAATGTACCGCTGGTATATGACTCCCAGAGACTCCATATTCCCAAATACATCACCCACCTGCTGGAGATGTGGTAAAGCCCTAGGTACCATACAACACATAGTCCAGCCCCTATGGGCCCTAACTCATAACATCTTAGACAAACTGAACATCCCAGACTTTCCACTAACCCCCATTGTGTGCCTACTGTTGCTGCTACCTATGCAGCTAAGCTTAGGCAAAAAGCAGATTAGTGTTGATGGCGGCAAGAAGTCTCCTGGCACAAAAGTGGAAATTCCGAGAATGCCCCTCCATGGCACAATTACTTGATAAGTTGAATCAATTCTATACCTATGAAAAACTGTCACTATCTTCAGCACAGTCCAAACTAAAATTCGAAGCCACGTCGCAGGCGTGGGAAAGGGAGTACCTAAAGAACCCATAGGGACTCTGGAAATTTAGAGACCACCACCTGAGGGGTTATTACAAATACACAGGACTGCACACACCAGCCTTGTATAAACTCTACTCATGTATCCACCCGAGGATACACTCATTGACCCCCACCGTACCCCCCCCTCTACATATCCCTGATTGTTCCCAGCTCTGGCACACACTTTGCAAATAGCTCCAAACTACACAATAGGGTTGCAATTGCACCGCCGAGGTATATTTACCTGTCTTCCAAATAAAGCGACCTGACATGTAGGTAGACTTTTCATAAGTACTGCACTGCTCATGGTTCTGAACCACGTAACAGGTTCTATACAAACACGAAGCAGATGCACGAGAGAGATTATAGCTCAAGTAAGATACTGACATGGAAACTACTATCTCATGACTGCTTACATTTCCTAATACCCACATCAAATGGTAACACACGCACCTACTGAAAGCGGACATGTTTGTCGATATATGTTTAGTAACCTATGTTAAACTACATATTATATGATGCAATGTACCCCACTACCAAAAGAGATGTCTTCATGTTTTTCCTTTACATATTGTTGACAGCACTGTGAAATTTTAAGCAAATATTGTCACCCCTTTTCTCTTCTGTACCCCCATTTACCTTGCAAAATCAATAAACACTAAATTTGAAAAAAAATTAATTTCAGGAAGTATTACTTTACAGAGAGGGTAGTGTACACATGGAATAGCCTTCCAGCTGAAGCGGTAGAGGTTAACACAGTGAGGGAGTTTGAGAATGCTTGGGATAGGCATAAGGCAATCCTTGACTTAAGATAAGGCCAGGGACTAATTAATAAAAAATTCAATAATTGTGCAGAGTAGCTGTCAACATTATCGGTCCCCAGACTAAGCCTAGCCCCTCTGGGAAGAAATATATTCTGACTGTTACAAATTGCCATTTGTAACTGTTATTCTATGTGACAAATTGCCCTGCTTCCTTGAGTTATGGAGAAGCCCAATTGCCAGCCTTCTTCATCATGACTATGGCCCTGGTGTGTATGGCCCATAAGAACAGTCTGTGGGCACATTGTGACTTTTGTGAACAGTGCCCCTTTAAGACGGTGTCCCCGGATCCTTAAAATACTTTATTCATGGCTTCTTCCCACTTGGTTCGGTAAATGGGGCTTACTGAACCAAGTATTACACAGGCGTACCACACAGAAGTGGAAGTGTGTGGCCAATTTACCTCCCAGGCTGAGGGGTTGCTGTAGGTTAATTGCCGACCGCTAGGTGGCCTCCGTTCGTGCAGTCGAACACGTGGCAGCGGCCATCTTTATTCAGTCGAACACGGTCAGCAGTGTTTGCCCCTGAATCTATGGAACTGAAATTGGCTACAAAACAGCACGAACACCGCTGTCCCTAACCTTTTTCTCCACTTCGACAATTCGGCTAAATCGAGGTGCGTTCGACAGTTTGAATGCACTACTATACTGAGCCAATTGCACGAACGGTGCCCCGTTCATGCATTCGAATGAGACTTAGACATTTTGATGAGTGAAATTGACCAACCGCACAGCCCAAATCTATGGAACTGTTTTGGGCAGGAAAGCATGCTTGCGGTCGGTCACAAAGGACTTCCAGCTAACTTTTTAACCGCTGGAAGGAATTGCCTGAATTTTGAGTAGGTTTGTATTTGAAGTATGCTGAGTAATAATATGTGATTTTTAAGGAGATTGGGTGTATAGTTTTAACATTATAGTAAATTTTGTTTTTGCTACGCTCTACAGAAGGAAGAGGTTCACCTACTGGAACCTGGAGCCTGGTCATAGGTCCAGGGTGGAATGCAGACGGCGATATCCCAACCCATC